ATGACCGATGCAGAGCCTACAGAATTGCACAGTATCCCGGAAAATTGATCAGGTCGAAAACATGTTCTTTGTTTTGGGCAGAAGATCATCCTCTTAGTTTGAGGCAATACTTCGTCTTAGTTTGTGAAAAAAAAATCGCTATTGCGTGTTTTAAAAAGCTCACTCCACTGAAATGCGCATCGAGAATTACTCCCAACTTCATTGGAATCCGCCACATCGAATTGTGGACATTTAAAATCTGAAGTCATTCAATTGAAGACTGAGTTCAGTGTTTAGACATGGCAATATCTCCATCATACATAGTGACTTGGTTATGCACCAAGCCCTCCAAGCCCTCCAAGCCCTCACCTCCACAAGGTCGAAAAGCTGATACTAGACATACTTCTTAATAACTCCAAAGATCAACTTTCTATAAGCCTCGGCATAAATAATCGAAATATCTATTTGTATGTTCTTATGAACTGTCCTTACTCATCTGATGCGAGACTAGTATAAGTTGTCCTTGTTGTTGTCATTGCAACAACAACAACAACAACAACAACCTCGCATCAGAACTATAACGGCAGTTCACAAGAACGTATAAATAAATAGTTTATAGGAGATATGTACAAGGAAAACCTAGTCTTATCCAAAAATTCGAGCGATTACTTGTGGTGATGTCTTGGGAAGACAATGATGCGGTTATCCCAAAGAGAAGCAATTCGATCAGCTTTCAACGACAATAATGAAAAAAGATAAAATTCTCAAGTCCAGCTTACATGAAAGTCCGAACACCTTCATGGATGACTGATGCTAGAACCGAATGCAAAAGTGCTGAGATTTGCAGAATATTCATTCTGCAAATCTCAGCACTTTTGCTTTTGAATATTTATAAATTATATCGATTGTAGATCATATAGATAAAATTTACGAAACAAAGCATTCGAAAACAAATCTAAGTGACACATTATCGTTCAGGAGAGTGCAGACGAACAAAGCACATACCTGATTGGCTTGACAGAGATTATACTGTAGAGAGAATGAGAATTCTTGTCTTTTCAATGATCAGGTGGCTCGAAGATTAATGTAAAATTTGTGACCTCATTTTCTTTGCGTGTTTCAGCGATGGATTTACCGATCGCTGTACCATTATAGATTATTGTAATTATCATTTCATGCACTTTCACTAGGTATAATTAAATCATGATATAAAGACGTTTCGTTGACGAACTTACATGATGAAGATTTAGAATCTTTACTTGGCTAACGTTTCGACATCTTCGTCTTCATCAGAGCCGGCGATCCGATTTGATAGTCCACCGTCCTTCTTCGTTTCGATGTGGCGTCTTTGCCCTCGTATTGAGTAGGAGTTTCTTCAGTGTTGACGAATACATGGTGAATAGTCGCACCGAGGTTAAAACAAGGTTGGTTTTGGAATATTCCTATGCTCTATGCTAACTGATAATAATATTTACTTCTGCAGAGCGAATGAGTTGTCTGGAAAAAACGAGCGATGCCTACTGAAGAAGATCCGACTCGAGACGAAGACGGAGGCGCTACGTTTATCATCGTCGTGTGATCTCATCAACGAAAGAATATATGTTGATTTGTCGAACCGAGACTGAAGGATAGTCGGTTTTGAAATAACGTTTAGTTTTGAGAAATTTTAAAGGTTGGAATTTCGAATATCTAAACAGCAGTTTTGACAAATCCACTTGGACGGATTAAACTCAGACGTAGTGAAGTTACATGAGAGAGTTGAGATGAGGAGATGTAATGAGATTAATGAGATATCAGGTTAGAAAAATCTTACGAACGCAACGTGCAACGTTGGTTTGGAAAATTTCGGCGTGGCAAATTCGACTTTAATGATTAGTGGGATCGGGGGCGTCCTTCTACTACTGACGAAAACGGATTGAGGGCTTTAGTGAGAACGATTACAAGCTCGTTTGGTCGATTGTTTGTATTAAAACCTGATGTAGGCATCTGAACTGTTTCGGAGCATCTAAAGTAGACTTGAAAGCGACAAAACTCGTTAAATGGATGCAACGCAAATTTAAGGACCGTCGAAGAAATCACCGTTTCGTGGTATTGGCGGTGCCTCTTCTGCACAACCGAACCCGTTTCTCAGCTGTATTGCGAATTATGACGAGAAATGGATCCTCGGCTCCCCAATGTTTGGGGCGCAATGAAGCTTCGTAACACATCACAAAAACGAAATTACGCCGGAAGAAGTTCATGCTGATCGTTTGGTAGTTCGCTGCCATTTTAATTCATGAGAACTTTCTGAAGCTAGGTTAAACGACAATGATAGAGTGGTAAATAACAGGTAAAGGCTTCCGGTGTTGATCAATCATTGAAAAATGCGCAATGCGTTCGACTTAATTTAGCATCGTTAGAAATGATTGAGTATACCTGGCCTATATAATGACTCGTCGTGGTCTTCCGATATATCCAGCCAGTGCGCCAGTGCTGCCATCCTCCCTGAAAAGCCTGGTACCAATTTACCGACTCCGGAGAGGTGGGACTGGTGAGCCTGGCACGCGGGATCGATCCCATGTTTATTGCTGAGCACCTCTAACAACTGCGCTACAGGCGCAAAAGTACATTCAACAAACCGAAAAAATGCACTGAGAACTTCACCATCACCAGCTACGCTCCGTATTGGTTAACAGGAAGGGACCATTTCATCCTCACGACGATAACGCGCGGCAACACGACACAACAGCACCGATGAAGCAAAAGATGAACAAACTTGGTTGCAAAAATCTGCCTCATGAACCATATTCGCCAAAACCCTCGCCTACCGACCACCACCTCTTTATGCATCGCGATAACTTTCTATGCAAGAGGTGATTCAGGAAGAAAGCCGAGGACTAAAATGTCTTAACAACTTCATCGCATGTAGAACTCCGGGTTTTTAACCAATCGATGTAAATAAATTATTTTCTATCGGATAAAATAAGCATGTTTTAGCGGTTTTTATTTCTGTTAACAAAGCCCGCTTTGAGCTCGAATACGGCACTTCGAAAGTACAGGTCAAATTCCGACTTGAAACTTTGGAAAACAACGCATTTTCGCCCAGCGAGGGTTAAGGTGGATTTCCAAAATTTAAATCTTTCTCACATTATCTGTCTTTTTTACACCTTTTTCAAAATGCCTCTCTGTTTTGTAGCTTAAAATCTGCAATAGAATCCATTCTTAAACACGAAGCAAAACAAATATCTGCCAACAAACCATATTTTATTTCACTTTGATAACACGTCGGAAATAACGTCAGGATGATCGCTCCACCCACTGTTTCATGTTGTTGCACATAGGCTTGGTGAACTTCACGTTTCTGCCTATGTGACCACAGATCCTTTCCACTTGTTCATTTTATTTTGCCTCTCACCCAACCGAAAATCTACATAGGGAAAAATAAAAGTTGGGTTTTGGGTGGAAATGTTTTAACCTATCTAGATAACAAGAGTCTCTTTTAACCTCTGTAAATTTTCAGGAAAGCTTGTAGAAAAATCGAAGGAGAGTTTATTTTGGTCGAGAATATAATTCCACTTTAGCCTTGAAAAGTTTTCCTTGAAAGAGCTCAAAAATCGTAGAATAAAAAAATACTACTAAAGCAGGATAACCACAATGATGCTGAGATATTTGCAAAATTGCGGACCGCAGGTGGCTGCGGTGGGAAACGAACGCGCTGTTGTCCTTCCGAGGAATAACTCTCTCACCACCACACCGTGTGGGTCCTTCGTTTCGCCTGTCTCTCAGACACCTGCGGTTCGGAGTTTTGCAAATATCTCAGCATCACTGTGGTTGATTTACAAGTAATACCCTCCCGTGAAAAGTTGTAAAAGGCAGTAAATAAAAAGTCAACAATGTAACATAGGATAGTCGTAAAATGGACGTTAACGTCTTTAAATTAGACAGGAGAAAACTCTTATTAACTTTAGCAGGGTAACAGACAAATCTATAAAAGTCTGCTGTTTCTAGGAAAAATCAAATATTCAATATTCAAATGAGTAAAAGCAATAGATTCCTAACATATTAATATCGCAGACATTAGTCACCATACAAGAAGAAGACCACGTCTATGGAATACGACCACTAGCGAACGACTTGAATGGGAATTGTTCTGGGACCAGTAACATTTGCGAAAGCGAATCACACAAGCATCCAAGCAGATAAATAAGCAGCATTTCCATGTCAAATACGGAAGATGCAGAAGTTAGTCGAAATTAGTAAGGATATGCACTGAAAAAATATTCGATAAGTTGAAAGACAAGAATAGATTTTTCTGGAGCATTTAAAGTAAACTGAATACAAGAAGAGTTCATCAGTCACATATTCACAAGAGTTTGGCATGAATATGTGTACCTAGTTGAGAGACGGAGATGTAAGATTTTTTTCACTCATTTTTCATTCCTTTTAACTCGGTAGGAATTCAGAGTACTAGAAGAGAAGACCTTTCGCTTTCACTTCTTTCTAACTCACGTGAAAATGCAAAAGAACACTGAGCGATGGCAATGTTCATTGGCCGTTGTAGCTGGTGGAACTTCAGTAGGATAAGCTCTACAGAACAGATAACCAGCGCGATAATCTACTCAATGATTACAAAGCTTTTTCTTCTCTTTCGATAAAAATAATTACTTCAGGTTTATCTCTATACCGTAAATTAACATTAGATTATTTATCTAATTTAGAAATTTAGTTATTATCAAATTGTTTTAATCCCTCCACCCTCTATGTCACACAGAGAAGTCAGTTACCTCCTTGATGAAATAAAAAAGACTGGAAAACATACATTTATTTAATGAGAAAGACCAGAGCGTTATTTAGTGAGAACTGTAAAATATTCTAATAGAACGCACTCGTTGGTGAGGAGTTATCGAAAGTACAAGTGATATGAAAAACACCTGGAAGCGCCGACTGTTCAACATTTTTTGTACGGAGCTTTTTTTAATACTCATAGCTAGTAAATGGACTTCCATGTTAAGCCCTATCGATTGCAAAAGGCATGAAAATTTTTACAAGAAAAAGCAGAGACCATAGATTTCAGTTTCCTTCAATGGGGTTTCATCTATCGCCTCCTCACTAAAAATGCCACCAATCATAGCTGGTCGAGCTGGCACTAGTGAAGTATTCAATCGTCTCCGTCGCATGTCACAGCTGTCAGTGGACTCTTCTGCCTGTGGAACAAGAATAACACCACCTTTCGATTTCACTCGCATGAAAAGTGGAAATATTCACTGGCTGGTAGCTGTCAGAACCTAGCTGAGTTGCAGTCCTTAACGTTATCTATGGATGTCCGACCGGCGCTATCCCCATGTGCTTCTCACTTCACTGACGTTTTTGCCGAGACGATGCGCACAGTGAAACATATGGTCATTTAGCCTTTTAAAATATCCTATTGGTTGCAGGAACTCGTCAGACCCTCCAAAAACAATGATTTTTTTGCATTCTGAAAGGCGAGCGCAATGCTAACGCCAAGAATGAATTGTGTAGTCTCGAAAATAACCCTTGTTGGCATAAAATATCTGCAACTGATTTGATGATTCATATTAAGATTCTTGGGTACACGTAGCGCAGCCGTCGGAGTAGCCCTGGAATACGCATAGGATCGATCCCAGTGCCCCAGGCTCACAATGCTTTCCATTCCTCCGGGGTTTCCAAACTGGTAGCAGACTTGGCTGGGGAGATAACAGGCACTGATTTGATATATCGGTGGGCCACCGCGAATCATTGTAAAAACTAGGTATGCATTTAGTCACCTCTAACGAAGCTTGATGAAGCCGAATGTATGGCATATCAATCAGGCATTGAACAACGCCGACACCATTATCCCTTGTTCGTTTTTATCAAAATTCTTAATTGAAACGCATTTATGCATTTATTGAATAAATAATTCAAACTTCATCAAAAAAATGACTCTTTAAGGACATTCATTACGTTCCTTCGAAAAAAAAAATGGCCAACAAGATGTCCTAATGAATAATTCGAAGGATAGAGTGAAATATAGAACATTTCGATATATTTGATCCTAACACTTGAATCCAACTCGCGTTGTGGGAGACTTCAGATTTTCACTAGTTAACGTGACACATATGCTGTGCCAATTTTGGCTAAACCAACAATCTATCCGCCCCTGACACAATAGCTGATATACCTGTCTTCGGAATAAAAAAGAACTCGTTCAAACGAATGCAAACGTAACGCAGAAGCTCATCTCTGAGAGAAGAAACAACGCCAAGAACTTCATTTCATCGCATTATCGTTATTTTGTTCCACATCTTCACTGCACTCCATGTTAGTTAAATGTGAAAAACTCACCAATAACAGCGATGAACATTCCGGTGACTTGTGATAAAACGAGGAAAATTTGCTCTTGTCTTGATGGTAGACCCAATGCGGCAAGGGCAGCTGATGGCAATTCTTGTGTGCTGGCGATCTTTTCCGGAATATTTTTTATACGAAGAAACGCCCGGAGGGAGGGCAATTGGTGCTAGAACGGTGTAAACAAGAGAAAGACGCTCGCGAAGTGTTTGACAATCATTTTGCTACTTAATGGTTCGTAAGATGGATGAATGACAGAGAGGAGATGAGAGAAATCTTGAAAGCAGTTCGCTTCTTAACAGACTTCGACCTATTCTATTATCTATTATTCTATTTATATACCTTTTCAGAATTGGGAAAAGAATCCAGAAATCGAGTAGGAAACGAATCAACCTAAATCCGGAGTAAAAAACGTTAGTCCGTGAAATCTTGAATTCATATTACACCTATTACTCTACTATTTTGCTAATTACTCTTTTATCTTTTTTACTTCGTTTCATTGTCTTAGAACCAACCATCACTCAAGCTCTATATGAATAGTCAATATTTCCTAAGATTACTAAGTTAACACGAGGTCGGTATAGAAGTTTATTCGGCTACCGTTTCGCCTTCTTCGTCCTCCTCAGAGACAGAAAGATCCGAGCGAATGAAATCTATGGACTACGAATCTGTGGACCGATGCGACAACGAACACCAAATCGTAAGGACGACCAGCTGTGCACCTTCAACTCGGATCAACTCGGCTCCGAAGGAGACGAAAACGTCGAAATGTTAACTGAATAGAAATTCTTTACCAACTTTGTGTTAGCTTAGTAATCTTAGCAAATATTGTTATTATCATTCTAAGTTCCTATTTTGCATGACCCAATATCAAATACATAATATGCCGATTCCAGAAATTTCGGCTCTCAGCTCGCGTTCTCGCATTTACCAACAAGAATGGTCTTCGTATTTAACGTGTGGCTTCAGTTGTTGCTCAGGAATTTTTGGCTTCCTTTAGAAACGCTGCTCATTACTGGTCGAACTCTCCCTGAACTTTCCGGAAAATCGAACAAGAGCATTCTGAGATTTTCATTAGTGGCATCGCTAAAATTTGTAGATTGCAGAAAGCGAGCTCAACGCTGACTAGACTGCTAGCAATCTCCCGATCCAGGACAAATAGGAATTTGATGGACTCGGATGGGTATAACCATGACCTTTTGCTATTCAATGGCGTTCTACCACCGCTCACTACCACGGCGCTACACCTCCCCAGTTTTCCCGCTACTAAGTATTAACTAAAATGCGAATTTTTCACTCTAACTGCTTTTAGGCTTTGTTCCCGCAATTCATAAAGCCTAAAAATACAATTTGTGTTAGGAAGAAATTCAAGCCTGAGAATATAAATACACAAAGAGTTCATTCTACTGCATTTATAAGCCTAACTAACAATAAACCCTTCCGCTTGTGACATTAAAGTAGGAGACGCATTGTGACGTCAGCTTAATAATTTCGCCAAGTAGAAAGGTTCTCGCTGTTCCCAACAGTGAAGCCCTTCATGAAAACGATCGCTTCGTTCGATCATTGATAGCTCTACCGCTGAACAAAGATTTCTCGAGCGAGTACCGATGAGAGAACTAATGACGTATGACGTACACAAGAAATGTCACTTTCTTAAGCTAACTCGTACCGAACGCCCGTTATAACAAGGTGTTCTAATGAATTTGTCAGGGTGACAGTGAAATCTCACCATCTTGCCCAAATATTTCAAGATCGCATAGTTTTGATGAAATACGGGATCTTGCTTGTTACATTTTCCATTTATCCCCATTAATTAATCGCGGGAGTTCCCATTGTGATTGAAGAATGCGAATCACAAAGCAGCACACCTCCCTCCTACCCAAAGGTGTTCGCGAAGAAAGTCACTCCGTAGCCAACGAAGAATAAGCATTATAAGTCCTAAACTTGAGGCTAAATCTGCATACAGCACCGAAAAATGCTGTAAAAATTGGAAGACAGCAAAAATGGTTGGAAGAAGTGCTGATGCTTGCTCATCGTGTGAAAACAGGCCAAGTAGATACTTACGTATTGATTTGTTTATATAGTTCTCTTCTTGTTCAGCATGCACGAGTTTAATATGCAACCTTTATTGGGCTAACGTTTCGAGAAAGTACCTAAACGTTAGCAACGATAAAGTTTTATAACAAACTCGGGTGAAATTACGAGTGTAGGAAATCTCCTTACTTTGTATTATAGGCCTCTTAATTATCTACCCATTGTAATCGTTCCCAGGATCGACTTTCTATTAACCTCGGCATTGGAATATGGATGTGTCGTTTTCTTGTTCAGCAATGGCGAGGTTTTTAAACAGCATACATTTACTTCCATAGAAAAACACAATACAGTACAACGCTAGCTGACGTTTCAGCAGTATCACCTTCTTCAGAGCCGCTTTTTCGTGACTTCCAATGAGGAAGTTTAGAACAGCTGATTGTAGTCGCATGTGGTTGACGACTCCAAATGTATGCTGTTTAAAAAACTCGCGATTGCTGAACAAGAAAACGACACATTCATGTCTACCCATTTACAACAAGTGACCTGATGCATTTTCCAGATCCAGCGTTTTATATCATTTCTGAGATTAAGTTGATTGTCGATAGCCTTGTTTTCTAGACAACCGAGTTCAAAAAGCCATTTTAACTAAGAGCGGCCACTTCGTAGCTGCAGTTGAAAACTCCGCAGCAGTACGTAGTACTAGTAGAAAGAAAACATAGACAACATCGAAAGTATAACAAAATTCGTCTCTAGCAGCTCAGTAGAAAAAACCGAAGACATGAAAAATGTTCAAGAATGAAGGGGGTTTAATAAAAAAGTCGGAGAAGCAAAATAGCACCATCTGTTGGATTTAAGGTTCTTCTTATGTTAAATACACTAAGAACCTGAGCCCACCTGCGGAATGGGAATAGTTTTATCAGATGAACTTATTGGGCAACGAAGGAAGAGGTTAGAGAGAAAATTTGGAGTCGATGACCAGGGATTATAAACGCTACCGAATGGTCTAAAACGAGCACGTCATGTGTTTTAACAATAGCTAATGGACAGAGCCACTAGCGATGGTGTTCCACGGGTGTCAAGCAGTGTGAACAGATTCAAGAGAGAAATATTTAACAGAGAGTAATAAATGACTGTAAAAACCAATTTCATGCGTAGGAATAAAGAAAAGTTAATAGAAAAATGTCTCTTGCACTGTAACCTTACACCATTTTATAAGAGCTCAGAATTTGGAAGCAATTTTCTAGTTCGATCTCTGTTTTAACCAGGCAAAACTTCAAATCGGGCCACATCACCAAGCATTTGCTCTCGTATATTTAGACGGTAATCGACAAAAGCATTTAGATCAAAGAGAGACGGATAAAAAAAATTAGGAAAAAAATTGAACAGAGAGGAACTGTAAACGGTGCACGACAAGAATAACGAAGAAGAAAAAAACTTAAACAAAAAAGTGCGACTACATTTTCGAGTGGGTCATTTTCGAGTGGACCAAACCTTAAGTCTATTCTTTACAGAATGAAGTAGAATGGAAAATTGCCTAAGAATTTGCTGATGGCAAGCAATAACCTCGGAGTAATCAACAATGAGCTTAAAGTTTGGCAAGCTGCATTAGTATACCAGACCAAGCAAGATCAACTTGGGAAATGAAGGTGGAGACAAAACTTTCTATTCCCTTCCAGTTTTTGTTCCTTTTTTTCTTCAAATATATAATTAATCTACTAGAAAATAATGTTTTACCCAAAACCATTAATTACGATATCAAGCGTATAAAGGATATTTATTGTATTAATCTGCTAACTAATAATAACTAATAACTAGTAACTAATAACTAATAACTAACCTACCCTGCCATTAAAAAAAATAGGCA